TATTAAGCAAGGACCTTGTGTGATGGCAACTTGCAGTTTCATGCTGGCTTCCAAGAAGTAGAGTCAATGGGAAAGTTGACAGGAAGCCACAAGTCTCGGTAGCTCACAAACAGGTTGCTATACAGGCGAGTTATGCAGTGTTAGGCAAGGGTCACAGCTAATAAAACGTGAGTGTAAATAAATCTAAATTAGGAAGTATTTTGAAAACCTTAGGTGCCCCTGTAGAGCTTTTCTTCTCAAACTTTAGTGAAACTGAGCCTGCTTTTGTCCACCTTCAGTTTCTTTTCGAGGCAGTGAACACTCACCCCGGATTAAGGCCCTATTCTGTAGTTTTTTTCTGTGCAAGAGGCAGAACTGCCAGTGAGCTTTCCCCCTATATACAGTAACATCTTTTAGCAAACAGATGGTTGCAGCTTTTGGTAAGGCCCCAAGTCTGCTACGAAAGGGTAGTGTTGAATGGTTTTCCATCCACGCCTTGAGCCAGAGAGCAGAAGAGTTCATCCCAAGTGTCACTTGCTCTCTTTAGAGCCAAGAGACTGCGGACATACTGGGAGTACAAAGAAGCTGCTGCTTCATACCAAGAGGCATGGAAGGAACTGCGTAGTCAGGCCTTTGGTGCCTGGGTGAGGAGCAGCCGCCATTACCAGTGTTTCACATGAAGGAGGAACAGAGTGACCGTATCTGACTATCACTTATGCATCTCTCAGCTGTTCGGCACCATTAATGTTTTTTTTTTAAAAAAAAAAATCATAGCCAATACAAAGAACATGTCAGTGCTTTTGGCACTATTCCTCTGAAAGTAATGTTTTCCTCCAAAACACATTGGGAAGATTTTGGAATAAAGTATATGTACTCCTTTCCTTCTGCTTGGCTGAGTGTTTATATTCTGTTGATCCACAATTTTTGGTGAAAATTTGAGGCTACACACATCCCCATCCTGAAAACAGGACAACATTCTGAATTTGCAAAGAAGGCATATACAGTTTTTCTTGCTGCCCTCTGGACTTGGAAGCTTAATAATACTATAATAACTCTCGCCCCCCACACCCCTTCAATATTTACTCCCTGGATTGTTCTTTCTCCATGGTGGTTTTAAGAATATAATTTTTGACAGAGCCTTAATGAATTGTGATCACCGTTACCAGCCTGTACTATCATATTGCCACTGTGATAGTAATGTGGGATTGTAATAGGGGATGTTCACTTATCAAGAGGCTGCAAACTTCAGAGTTGTGATTACTGTAAAGACTAACAACATGAAATGAAATAGGTTCTCTCAAACCTCCAAACTCAAAAGCGGTCCCAATCTCAAACTGATATGCAGCAGGATACTAATGAACAGATAGTGACAGATTTGAGGAAGATCAAACAAAAATTGGAGTGTATATTGTATCCATGTACCTTAGAAATATTCCTTATTTACAAGAACTTCTAGTAGTATTGGTGGAAAATCAAGTTATATTACCATTGCTGTAATTATCAAGTTAGAAGGCTACAAGATTTGATGGAATATATTTGGAAATATAGCAAGCAACAGAAGAATCAGTAAAGTCTGTAGAGTCAAACCATATTAGCAAATCTGGAGCTCACAGATTGTTAGAGGTTGGTTGACGTATCAGTATTAAAGAAGACTTAAGTAACTGTGCAAACTATCGTATAGTTCCTTAACGCTTAGAATGAGTTCAGTTTAGAGTCCTGCATGAAAAAAGAAAGTCCAGATGTTAAGCTGACCCTAGGGAAAAAATGGGAACAGACATTGTTGCTGATGCACACAGTCTAATTGAGAAAGTTTTAAAAATAACCAAAAACAGTCAATATGTTTCAATGACTATGGAAAGGTGTGCAATTGTGTCAACTAAGTCAAGCTGTGGAATGTCCTTAGGAAGAATTCCAAAACAATATTTGTCTTCATGTGAAACGCACAGGGTAGGAAATGACAATCCAGATTGCGAAACAGACTGGTTTTAGTTTGGGTTAAGGACAAGGACAGAGACAACAAAGATGATGACCCTGATTCCAAATTTCCTCCCAGCCCGAGAGTGCTACACTCCCAAGAAAGATCTGCATGACCTGCAGCCAGGGCAATCCTGTTCTTCACTGCCTGCACTCAGCACAGGCTTCGTTTAAAAAGCATCATTGCCAGCCTTTCTCTGAGAAATCTCCTTGGAACCAGCAACAGTTGATGATCTGCCTTTGGATTTTTTGGAATGTGAACTGTGACTTGATGCACCTTTTCCTTTCGTCTTGGACTAAGCGCACTAAAGTTAGTAATTAGAATTTGGAACTGTGGTTGTGTGCAGACAGAACCAGTTAGCCCTGCTTCTGAGTTAAGACAGGATAAAACTTACACATGTGTAACTTGAGATAGAATATATATTGAAAAGATGAGATTACAATTTAATTACAAATACCAATTTAAGGGCAACAAGGATAGCAAGCAGCTTTAGAGTGCTTTAGACAATGAACACTGAATAGTTTCAGCTTTGACTGGCCTATCAACTAAAGGAATGGGCAGTTAGGATATATAGCAGACTAGTAGTTGGTAGGGTAAAATGAAGTCATTGGTACATATGCACAAATGAAACCAGTTGCCTCAAGTAGGGGGGAAGAGTTTCAGGCAGAGATGCTATATTTAAGATAAAATGATCGACTATTCAGCTGAATAAATCAACAATTTAAGGTTCATCTCCTACAGGAGTAAAAATAATTTTGCAACCTCCCTAGGGTGTCCCTGAATGATTTTATATTGTCTGAAAAATGTCTTTGTATGCTTAATCTTATAATGCTATTTTTTTTTAAAAAAAAGAAAACTGAAATACAAAGCAATATTGCAAAATTTTTGTGACAGTAACTTTAATTGTTGCTTCTTAAGCAAAATTCAATAAAAGCAACACGCTAACCAAGATAAACATATCAGCATCCTTAGGGTAATACAGAAACTGCCATTTCTATGAAACTGTAATTATGCTAATATTTAATTTCAAAATCCCTCTCCCATCATCATCTACGGTTGCATCCGTATTTGAATGTCATTAAATATGTCCCAGCGGAAAGGATGCAATAAAATTTACAGCTATGGTTATACGTGTAATGGAAAAATAAAATTTTATAAATTACTAAGCTAACCAACAAAAATCTATCTATATATTAAATCAACCCAGTGACAAATGAAAAATGCCCCTCAGGGTCATGATGAAGAACAAGAGGCTATTTACAAAGCAGCAGAGATGGAGATGAAATCAGAAACCAAAGGTGTTTTCTCCACTGTAAGCCACGTACAAGAAGCCATCCTCATCTTTCTCCTTCTCATAAAGCTGTCCCATGGTTAAACTGTAAGAAAAAAAAACAAAGCAGCAAGAAAACCATCACATACTAACAAAGGGGGAATGTGCAAATCAAAAAGCAGGGAGGATGGATGAGAGTGAGGAATGAGTAACCCTGTCAACTAAGCTTTGCTGCCTGTTGAACTTTAAACGTATGAATTTGGATACCTTGTTAAACATACATTAAGACTTAAGCTTTTTTCCACTTGACTGTCTCTGCCTAGAAAAACCATAGAGAGCAGAAATTTGAGATGGTTAGCTTTTTTGTATTTTGGTGCAAAGTGAAAAAAATTGGGAAGTAACAGAAAACAAGGTCCTGTATAGTGGATTAAATAGTGCAGTAGACTGAAAATGGAAACTTGATAACAGTTTCCTTAAATTAACCCCTACCCTGATCTGATTTTCATGTACAAGGATTGGCAAGTGGTGCATATCCTACCCTGATATCTTGACTCCCACAATCTTACGCCACTAACTATATTGGCTAGAACTAATAGTTGAGTTCCCATTGTAAGCACTTTGCACAGGAACAGGGACATCAAAACCAAACATTAATTATTGTGAAATGTTAATAGAATTTAACCTAAACATCATCTAGGAAATGTAAGCTCTAGCTAATTGAGAGAAGAAACCTCTTCTACTTTAGGAAGTGGCTTCATCTACTATCCAAGATTTTATGGGAGGACTCCACAAGTTCCAGAAATGAAAAGCCAACTTTTGTCCTATTACTACACACAACCCACCCACGAAAACCTCACCTAGACTGGGGGACAGTCTTGTCTACAAAGAGAAATATGGCCTTCTCGGAGGGCAACTGGATCCGCTTCCTGATGATCCACATAAACTGAGCCACGGTTATGTCCGAGGGAACCAGGTACTTCCTCTTGTCGATGTCCACAATCTGAGATCCCGAGACCTTTTCCACGATCACCTGCATCGAGACGGAGGAAATTTATCTCGGCCAGCATCCCTCCCCCCACCCACCGCCCGGCCTTCCTTCAGCCCCGCCACTGAAGCGCCGGGAAGGGGAGACGAGCAGCGGCTCCAGTCGCGTGTTTGCCCGAAAGAAACACGGGCGCGTCAGTTTTTCTAGGGACGATCCACCGGGGGAAAGGGTCCTGGCGCCTCCCGTTCCCTGGGAAAGAAGGGCCTGCCAGTCTTAGCGGAGCCCTCCGCCCCCATGACGGGCCGCTGCCGGGAGGCTCGGGGCGGAGCCTGCGGAAAATAACAAGGCCGCCGACGTCCGGCCTGGGCACCCCGGGGCCCCCTCGAGCGCCCCTCAGGCGGCCTCTGCCCTCGAGCGAAGCCCGCTTGCCGTTCCGCCGACTCACCGGGACGCGGTCGGGGTACTTGGCCCGGATCTTGGCGGACTCCACGCACCGATGCTCTGCGGAGAAGACGAGGAGAACCGCGTCAGTCGGCCGAGCCCGGCCCCCGCCCCGCCCCTCCGCCCGGCGCGGCCCGCTTACCCAGCGCGTGGTCCTCCTTGAACATCCACTTCATGGTCGGGCGAGGCGGGCGGCGAGTGGGCAAATTGGGCCTGTCGTCTTCAGCAGCTCCTCGGCAGCCGCAGCAGCCCCTCTGCGCACGGGGGGCGGGACTTCCGCCGACGCTCACGCGGGCGCCCCCTCCGCCGCGGCGATTGGCTGGCAGGGCGGCGCGTCCGTCGCCGTGGAGACGCGCAGCGGCGGCATGGCCTGGCTGGAGGTGGCGGCGGGCTGCGACGGGTGGCGTGGGCGAGTCCGGCTGTGCTCCCTGGCGGCGCTGGGGCTACTGCTGCTGGGGGCACTCACCTACGTGCCGCCCCTGTTGGTGGCCTACCGAAGCCACGGTGGGTTCGGCGGAGGGGGCGCCCCGGGCAGGACTGTCGCTCGCCCGCCCGTCCGGTCTCACTCGCTCTCTGTCTCCGCGCAGGCTTCTGGCTCTCGCGGAGCAGTTACGCCGAGCAGCCCAGCGTCCGCTTCCGGCACGAAGTGCTCCTGGCCGCGCTGACGGATAGCGGCGGCGGGCCGGTGGGCTGGAGTTCCTTCGCCGCCTTCAACCGCCTGCTGGGCACCCGGTTGCGCGTCCCGCTCGTCTCGGTACGGCGGGGGCGAGGGTGGGGGCGGGGGGCGAGCCGTTGCCGTGGCGGCGGGGACCGAGTCCCCCTCCGGAAAGCGCCGGGGCCGGAGTCCGCGTGGTTGCCCGTCCGCCATCTGTGGAGTGGGGGGGCAGCCTTAGACGGAGATCTTCCAAATGTTTCTTCTGTGTTCCAGGCTCGGGAGGAAGACTCTAACCAAGATGGAGTAACGGACCTGCTCCGTTTCCAGCTGGAGCTTCCACTGCTCCCCTCGGAACGAGTGGTGGGGATTCAGCTCTTGCTGACTTTCTCCTACGAGTTACATGTGAGTGTCCTCAAGCGGCAGCAGGGAGGGTCTCCCCAGCAGCCCTTTAGATGTGAGGACGATCGGGCCTTTCCCTGGTCTTCGTTTGAAGCAGAACAACGTTTCTGTGCCGTTAGGCAGAACCGAAGGCCTTTAGCTTCAGCGGAAAGTGAGATGGGCAGAAAAACTGCTTTGCTGAAAAGGAACCTGTTGCATAACTATCAAGCGATAGAAACATGTACTGATGAACAGTATTGTTGATTATCAGAGGCTCTGGATAGCTAATTATCATTTCCCTCCTCCCAAACGGAGTGATAAAGCAGAGCCAGTTTGGTCTGGTGAAAGCTAGAAGCCAGGACACCCTGAGTTCTAGTCCTGCCATAGGCACAAAAGCTGCCTGAGTGACTTTGGATCCGTCACTGTCTCAGCCTAACTTACCTAATAGGGTATTTGGTATGGAGAAAATAGGAGAAGGAAGGAGCATTGTGTGTGTTGGCTGCCTGGAGTTATTTATAAAAATAATAAAGGTGGGATATAAATAAATAATGTAGAGTGCAGGTCTGGAGAGAATCTGAGCAGGGAACTTAATAGTTACAGTACTCAGGATACTCAGTTTGAGAAAAGACTAGATAAACAAAACAATGCATAATCTAGGAAAAATTAACATGGGAGCATTTTTAGCAGAATACCGAAACGCTTTCATGCAATAAAATTGAATAGTGGGAAAATTAGAATGGATAAAGGGAACTCTATTGATTGGTGCCAATTGGGGTAGTTTAAAAGGCAGTCGTATTTACAGAGGACAGTGCTTCCTATATATAATGCAGCAGGGAGTGTGGTTTATACAGTATATCTAAATGCTTTTTTCTGAGGAAATGTGCAGCTCTGTTCATGTCCTATATTGAGTTTGTCTTGAGATTGGTATTGAAATAGAAAAGTTGTGGATTGTACATCTTTTAAAATGTCCTTGCACCATAAATTTAAAAATTGCAAGCACTTCTATTTTTGCAGATTCTTTAAATCTTTGGGAATTCTATATATAGCTGCTTGGTCTAACTAATAGACTGTATAGTTCTCAGTAGTTCTAATCCTATTTTTTGTGATGTGATGCTAAGATTGTGGCATAACAACTCTCTCCCCATCTTTCTGTTTTATTTGCTGCTCTCATTTCAGAGAATGTCCACCTTTGTGATGCAGTGCATGGCTTTTTTGCAGTCTTTTTCCCCTGTGCCAGGATCACAGGTGTTTGTAAACGGAGATCTCAAACTTCATCAGAGGCAGCCCCTTCACCATGCTGGGCTGGATAGCAGATATAATGTGAGTGTTGTCTCTCTTATCTCACTTTTTTCAGCTGGTTCTGTTGTCCTTTAACTATTTTTTTCTTCTGCAACTGCTCTGGCTGAAATTATGTTTGAATTTCTGAACTGAGAGATTTTTTTCAGAATATTTATCGATAATAACTGTTGTCTAGTTTAGTGATCACAATTGGGATTGGCAACTTGGTTGTTAAAGGAAGAAGTAGCTAAGTAAAATTGAGATTATGATTACAATTTACTTCAGGCTTACTTTTTAAAAATGTTAATTTTAAAGATAAAAAAACTGAAGGAGAAAAAAGTATTGGTAGATGCAAAATTAAAAAGAAAGCAAAGTCATAAAAACATATAATCTCCCTCCTTAAAAAGAATGTTATTTGGATGCATATATATTGCTCAAAAAAATAAAGGGAACACAAAAATAAGACATCCTAGATCTGAATGAATGAAATATTCTTATTAAATATTTTGTTCATTACATAGTTGAAAGTGCTGACAACAAACTCACACAAAAATTATGAATGGAAATCAAATTTAGCAACCCATGTAGGTCTGGATTTGGAGTTACACTCAAAATTAAAGTGGAAAAAAACACTACAGGCTGATCCAACTTTGATGTGATGTCCTTCAAACAAGTCAAAATGAGGCTCAGTAGTGTGTGTGGCCTCCACGTGCCTGTATGACCTCCCTACAACACCTGGGCATGCTCCTGATGAGGTGGCAGATGGTCTCCTGAGGGATCTCCTCCCACACCTGGACTAAAGCATCCCCGACTCCGGGACAGTCTGGTGCAACGTGGCATTGGTGGATGAAGCGAGACATAATGTCCCAGATGTGCTCAATTGGATTCAGGTCTGGGGAACGGGCGGTCCAGTCCATGGCATCAATGCCTTCGTCTTGCAGGAACTGCTGACACACTCCAGCCACATGAGGTCTAGCATTGTCTCGCATTAGGAGGAACCCAGGGCCAACCGCACCAGCATATGGTCTCTCAAGGGGTCTGAGGATCTCATCACGGTACTTAATGGCAGTCAGGCTACCTCTGGCGAGCACATGGAGGGCTGCGCGGCCCCCTAAAGAAATGCCACCCCAAACCATTACTGACCCCCTGCCAAACGGTCATGCTGGAGGATGTTGCAGGCAGCAGAACGTTCTCCATGGCGCCTCCAGCCCCTGTCATGTCTGTCACATGTGCTCAGTGTGAACCTGCTTTCATCTGTGAAGAGCACAGGGCGCCAGTGGCGAATTTGCCAATCTTGGTGTTCTCTGGCAAACGCCAAACATCCTGCACGGTGTCGGGCTGTAAGCACAACCCCCACCTGTGGACGTCGGGCCCTCATACCAACCTCATGGAGTCTGTTTCTGACCGTTTGTATCCCACCCTGTGTAATCACAGAAAGGCTTTTTGTTTATATGAAACCAAGTCTTTTTACCCAGTAAAGTATTACAAGAATACAAGTTAATCCAACATTAAAAACCTGTATGGTATCATATCACTTGTTATATGCCTAAAAATATTCATCAAGTGTTCTGATGCAAGTTAACAATTAGTAAGATCCTGTGTCCAATGCAAAATTCTCTCACTATGACAGGTATCTGTGATCAATAGTACAAGTCCTTTTGCCCAAGATTATGATTTTGTGAACATTGTTGAAACATATCAGAAGAGGAATGGTGAGTTTTCACAGAAGTTCTAAGTTTTTGTACGCAAGATGTTTCTGGTCTTTCTCAGATCATTTGCCTTAATATTAATTACAATTATTTCCTTTACAGTTACAACAGTTTTGTCTGGTCCCAGTCCCATTTGGGTGACTGGAAGATCACCAGATCAACCATTTGTGATCCAGGCCTTCATCCATTATCCAACGGAATTGATTGTATATCCTTTGGCTACCAGTTGGTAATATGGTTTTGGTTCTTTGAATGATGGTTTATGGCACTTGGCCTCAACCACTAATACAACTATGGCTGTTGTATCAAGATTTGTAGCTTACCTAACATTAGGTAGCTATGTAAGAAAAATGCCATGAAACTCAAACAGGATATATCTCTAGAGAATATTTCTAGTATTTAAAAAGAAAGTGTAAAAGTTTTATGGTACATTTTATATTGATCTGGGGGAAAGGAGATCTTGGGGATTCTCATTTCTTGACTGTCCCTGGCCACTCTTGAGAAGAGGTGGGATGCTTCCCAGTTCACATTACTAGCAAAAGAATCGGAAGTACACATCCTTGCCTTTGCATGAAGATGCTTCAGATTCCAAATACTCCTTGACTTTTTAGTACATATCAGCCAGGCTTCTGGGAGATGGTGAAATTTGCCTGGATGCAGTACATTAGCATCCTCCTGATTTTTTTGTGGATTTTTGAAAGGATAAAAATCTTCCTTCTTCGAAATCAAGTGCTGAACATGGTGCCGATGTCTCCACTTCCCCCACTGTTGTCCCATAAAGAGCACAGATCCTGACCAAGCCTGCACAGGAAAAAGAACTTTGCTCTCGGTGGCTTCCACTGCTTTGCATTTGGAAGATGAGGCTTTCCACAAGTTGGGTGTATATATTATTTTGCAAAGTTTATCGGTGGATCCTCAGTATAGATTTTCTTTGCTGTCCTATTTTTATAAATCTCATTGTTGTTATGATTATCAGATGGCATATCAACTAGAATCCATACCGTGACAAGATAAACAATTTAATGAAAGTTATACAAATGAGTTTTGGTACATAACTGAATCCCAATCTTGATGGCAAAGTCCTCTAAAAGGAATTAACTACAGAAACAAAAAGAGTTCTCAATTCTTTGAAAAGACAGATTTTCTCTGCAAGAATACCGAAATAAAGAACACCTTTGTTCTTTTTCCTTTCAGTTTGCGAAATCCCAAGGAGAAAATCAAGGGAATAAGAGCCATCATCAGCCAGGAGCTGATATTGTCCCAGAAAGTTTGAGTTCTTTCACCTGGCAAGCAAGTCCAATGAACCATGCCAGATAGATGGATAGGGAAAAAAACTTACAGGCAAATAAAAGGGTTACTCTGAAGCAAGTTCCAATTGCACCCTTGCTTGGAGCAGACCTTTTATATACCATTTTGAAAGCATTGTCATGGAAACACATAACATCATTGACCAGTCATTAAGAGCAGTATCACGCATAGTTAGTCGGTGGGCATAGTAACTCAGTTTAATGAAAGGTTACAAGATACGTTAAAGGGTAGATTGAAACCTTTTGTCTTATCGATCTTTTCAGTAACAACATTCCTAAGTAATTTGGTACCACGGTCTCATCCAGCATGCTAGGGAGCCAAGGATTCCCGAATAGAGGAAGACAGACGGTTTTTAACTCAAGAGCATTGTTATTTCTGCCTGTAAAAAATGTTCAGCGCTGCATAGCTGTATGTGGGTAGATGCATAACGATTATCTTTTAGAACTGAGTGCAACACAATTTTATTTTAATGTATGCTGGTTAGTGTACATTTAAAGTGACAAAAGTTTTTATTCTCTATTATATTAAAACATTTCAACTCGTTGCAAGTTGAGACCAGGCCAGAACCATTCCATCCTTATCCCTTTGTGCTAAGCAATAAACAGCACTTTAATATGTGACTGTTTATTAAGATATAAAGGTAATTGGATTAAGGCTAAATAAATTGGGCCACGAGCCATTTTTTGCCAAACTTCCTCATCCCTTGCAAACATCAGCAATAAAGAAGAAAGCAGAACTTCTCCCACAGAACTTTGGGTGTCGCCTGGTGAGGCTGCTTTTGTCGATTTAAGAATTGGGGTGGGGGAAGCTTCCTTTTCTCAACTGGCTGTGAGGTAAACGCCGCTTCTCATCACGGAGAGGTTCTGCCAGCCCCTTTAACTCCTGCACCGAGAGGTTCGCTGCCGCGGGACGGCCGGCTGCGGTGGGGCTGGAGGGAGGGAGCCTGTTTATTGGGCACTGCAGTCGGCCTCCTCTCCAGTCCAGGTGGGAAGAAGCTGCCCCCCGTCTCCACCCTCCTTAGGGCCAGTGCCTGATTGGCGCCTCCCACGCTGACGCCCCCCGCCCAAGCCCCCTCCTCCCAGCAGCCGTAGGGGAAAGGCCACGTCTGAATGCCGCTCATTCTACGCGGAGCCGGCGCTGCAGCCTCATCTTCCTGCCACCTCCGGACTAGCCGCGACCTCGTTAGTCGCCCACCGGCAGATACCGAGGTTAGGGGCGGGATGGGCTGGGGCCAGGCGGGTGTACCGGCTGGAAAAGTCGTGGCGCGCCTTCTTCCTCCGACCGGGACGGGGAGCTTCCTCCCCGCGGGTATCTATCCCATCAGCTAGGTTAGCAGAGGCGCTGGCGGACAGTCGCGCGTGCAGGACCGGGCGCCTTGCACGGCTGCCGAGCGTCTGAGTAGGGACCGGGAAGAGCGTCCGCACCAGGGCCTCGGCGCCGGCCGGCACAATTCTCAACAGCTGCGCTATTGCAAGCGCGGAATCCCCCTCCGCTCCGCGATTTTAGGCTAAATTTCAGGGCAGGGCGGGGCCGACTTCTGAATCCCAAACCTTCTAGTGGGAACGGCTGCAGCTAAAACGAGCCCCCTCCCTTCAAAAACAGTCGTGGAGAGATTTTTGCGCAGGAACAATGTGAAGAGTTTCCCCGCAATAGCAGTTAGGCTTCTGTACCGCTTCATAGTGCTTTCCAGCCCTCTCGGGGCACTTTACAGAGCCAGCCTCTTGTCCCCAACAATCTGGGTCCAGGTTTTAGCTCGGAAGGATGGAAGGCCGAGTCAACCTTGAGCAGGTCAGCATGGAAGGAATCAAACTTCTGGCAATATGAGCAGAGTTAGCCTGCAATACTGCATTCTAACCACTGCGCCACCATGCGTTTGAAAATCTTGTACCCAAGAAAAATATTCTTGTCAAAATCTTGTACCCAAAGAGCAATTATTTCCCTTTTGTATTTTACAAAAACATAAACCGCAAACTCTTAAGTGTGTTCACTCCCGTAATATTAGAGAGAGGCTGAATTATGTCCATATCAATTTTAAGGCTGTATAAAGGAAGTGATACTTGCATTGTTGCTAGAGTAAATAATCCATAGAAATTGTAATAGCAGAATTATTGTATAGCTTGTTTATTAACACCCCATACACATTTCTTTTAGCTTGTCTCATCATTGTGGATCCATGACACAGTAATCTGGGATTCTCCATACAATTCATTTATCCACCCCCAATCTGTAATTTGCAAAACTGCTAAAGCATAATTCCATCAAACTGATGCTATAAAAAGTGGTGATCCCCTTCTCTCCATCATTCCAGTCGTACTCAGCTTCACCCAGGATGCTGAGGCTCCGCCTTTCTAATGCCACAATTGCAATTATCTTGGCAATCCAGACAGGATTTCTAGTCTTTCTATATACTCAACAAGGTGGCTTCCTTCCTCAGTCTATGGAAAAACCTGCTCAGGTGCACATCCTCATCCTTTCGTCTTGGAGGTCAGGCTCTTCCTTTGTGGGGCAACTCTTCAGTCAGCATCCCAATGTCTTCTATCTAATGGAGCCAGCCTGGCACGTGTGGGCAACCATGTACCAAAATAGCGCCAAAGTCTTGCACATGGCAGTGCGGGATCTCATCAGGTCCGTCTTCAAGTGTGACATGTCAGTGTTTGATGCCTACATGCCCTGGAAGAGAAACAGAAATTTGTCTGATCTGTTCCAGTGGGCTGTGAGCCGGGCATTATGTACAACACCTGCTTGTGAATTCTTTCAACGGACTGATATTACTGGGGAAAGTGCTTGCAAAACTCTCTGCGGCAAGTATCCTTTCAGTAAAGCGGAAGAGGCCTGCAAGACCTATAGCCACATTGTCCTAAAGGAAGTCCGTTTCTTTGACCTCAAAGTCCTCTATCCACTCCTCGCTGACCCCTCGCTGAACCTCAAAATCATCCATCTAGTCCGTGACCCCAGGGCTGTCCTGAAATCTCGGGAACAATCTGTCAAAGCCCTCGCCCGTGACAATGGAATAATTCTGGGTATAAACAGCAGCAGAGCGGATGACGGTGGATTTAAAGTCCTGCAGGAGATTTGTAGAAGCCACATTCAGATCTACGAAACAGCTAGTCAGAAGTCTCCATTATTTTTAAAAGATCGTTATTTATTGATCCGATTTGAAGACATCGTGCGGGATCCTTTAATGGAAATTACTGCAATGTATACATTTACAGATCTTCTATTGACCCCAAAACTTGAAAATTGGATCTATAATATTACACACGGACAAGGACCGAGTAAGAAGAAAGAAGCTTTCCAGATCACTTCTCGAGATGCAATCAATGTTTCTCAGGCATGGAGAAATGTTCTTTCATTTCAGAAAGTCCAAAAAGTGCAAGAAGTTTGTAGAGGTGCTTTAAATATACTCGGTTATCAATTTGTAAATTCTGAGAAAGAGCAGAAAGATTTGTCTTTAGATCTAATATTACCACATCGGAGAACCCAATTTCGCTGGGCATTGTTTCGTGAAAACTAGATCAAATAACTTGAAAAGATTTGTTGGTGTCAGTACATCCGAGTTCTCTTAGAACTTCATTTTATCAAACCAAGGAATTGTATGTTTTTTGCATTTGCCTAACTTCCAGACTAGCCTCATAAAATAACATTACAAGAAATTACTGTTCATCTGCGCACAGTTATAATTTTGATATGCTATCAAACACCACCTTGCCTTTTGTTTTTCTAAGCTCTCTTTCATACGCAGGACTGCAATATTACCGATACAGAATCACGCTTGTTTGGAGAGGTTGGGAATTTGTCACTCTGAAATGTTAATGCACTCAAACTTCTACGTACCCCAGGGAACAACGGGCATAGAAATCCAGAGATCAGAAGGATTTATTTCATTACATAAAACTATTGTCTCTGCATTTATTACACTCCTATTTTTTGGGACACAGGCATCCCTGATTACCTATCATAGTGAGATTAGTTCCTAAGAACAAAAAATGTTTTTTTTTTTGCTATATAGTTTGAAATCAATATTCCCGAATCAATATTATCGGGCATATTTTTATCATATTGAAAGTAGCAGTATCCCAGACCAAGCAGATGAATATTGCAAATGTGTGCAGTTTATTTATGTTATATGCTAGCATAACAAATGGGGCCGACACCACAGATCATTTGCAAAAAACGTGCATGTTTAGTTTCTCACATTATCTATGCAGATACTCTAGTAATCTCTCTCTACTACCTCTGTCTGCACTAGGCTTTGGGATGCACTAGGAACTGGGAATAAAACATAATTTAGATTGGAGGAGGAAGAGGAGGAGGGGGAGGGGAGGAGTGGCAAATATGGGGTTGGCAGATGGGAAAGTCTTAAAAAGAACTCAGGAGGTTCATGGGAAAAGAAGGGGATTGGAAGCAGAGATGACAGTTGGCAGCTAAAATGATCAACATACACTTAATTCTAACAGCCGTTGAAGATTGATTTTAATTTAGAGAAAAGAGAGCCGGTCGTGCTTGAACAGAGGGGGTTCTGTTTCTGCTGAAGGCTTGTTACTTCTTATCTTTTGATAAGTAACTGAAAAAAATATAATATTAAATTTAAATCTCACTAAACATTAAATGTAATCATAACTCAGTTAACGCCAATCAAAATCACATTAATTTCTGTTTGTTCCATCATCAAGGCAGCTTTAATTGGTATAACTAGGATGGAGAATTCTAAGCTAAGGGATCACCGCAATTCCCATCAATCTTAGATGTTGGAATAAATTACAAATGAAAAGTTTTGGCAGAAGCAAAGTTTTAGCACCTGGGTAAATGCTGGAGAACAGGGGAAGAAGAGCCTTTCTCTGAAGACCACCTTTCCCACTTTGGGACACAGCAGGAGAGAAAACCGCCGTCATCTCCCTACCAAAAAGCCTGGCTCCTGGCAACAGCCGATTTTCCAAAGGGCCTGTCTCGCTGGGCAGGTTCACAGGCAGGCAGGGGGATGGAGGTGCATTTGCTGAATAGTCACCAAGGTAACCAATACATTAATCAGACTTTCTGTTGATTAAACTTCACAGGCAATCTGTATATCGTATCATTTGACCACTTACTTATTGATGCATCACACACACACAACGTACGTATCATTTGTTTCTTTACGC